AGAGCATGAGACGGGGGAGGGTCAGAGGGAGAAGCAGACTCCCTGCTGAGCAGGGAGCCCGATGCGGGACTCGATCCCGGGACTCCAGGATCATGACCCGAGCCGAAGGCAGTCGCGCAACCAACTGAGCCACCCAGGCGCCCCTCTTTATTCTAACCTCTATGACTCTTAGCCTCTTTTTGTCATGTTTTTAATCTCAAGCACTCTACCAATTTTATTTTTTTAAGATTTTATTTATTCATTTGACAGAGAGAGACACAGTGAGAGAGGGAACACAAGTAGGGGGAGTGGGAGAGGGAGAAGCTGGCCTCCAGCAGAGCAGGGAGCCCGATGTAGGGCTCGATCCCAGGACGCTGGGATCATGACCTGAGCTGAAGGCAGATGCTTAATGACTGAGCCACCCAGGCGCCCCAGCACTCTACCAATTTTAGATGTTCATTTTCAAACTTGTCTGTTCTTTCATACTGTTTTCATTATTTCTCCTTTAAAAAATCTATTAATCATTTTAAACATTCTAATTTTATAGTTATCTTTTAGAGTATTTTTATCACATTTTTAGTTCTTGAGGGCTAATTCTGATTATCTACCAACTCTGCCACAACATACTTTACTTCCTCATAAAATTTAAATATTTTGACCATAAATTCATCTTCACTAAGGCTACTTTTACTGTGGGATCTTTGTGTACCCTGGGTCATAGAAGTGTCCCAGAGATGTTTTATATTTGTCAGAACCCTGAGGAGTCTCACTGGTCCTAGAACAGTTTTAATTTTTCAGTTTGGAGTTCACATACCATACATATAGTGTTTATGTATATATACAGTTGACCCTTGAACAACATGGATTTGAACTGCACAGGTCCACTTATATCTGGATTTTTTTTTTTGGTTAACTACAGTACAGTACTATAAATATACTCTTCCTTATGGTTTTCTCAGTAAGATTTCTTTTCTCTAGCTTTATTGTAAGAATACAGCATATAACATGAAAAATATGTGTTGTTTATGTTATCGGTAAGGATTCTAGTCAACAGTAAGCTATTAAGTTTTTGGGAAATCAAAAATTATACATGGATTTTCGACTATGCAGGGGGTTGGCACCACTAGCTCCCATGTTTGTTCAGGGGTCAACTGTACTTTGTTCTGGCACAAGCCTAGGTGTTTTGATTTCTCAGAGATGACTTTTTTCCTACTCACTGCTTTGAGATGGTTGTCAATCCTCTTGTCTACTATGGTTTGGTGCCTCTTTTCCTAGTCTCTCTTCTTAAAAATAGGACTCTCTCACTCATATGTGGAATTTAAGAAACAAAACAGATGAACACAGGGGGGAAAAACAGAGAGGCAAACCATAAAAAAGACTCTTTAAATATAGAGAACAAACAGGATTGCTGGAGGGGAGGTGGGCAGGTGGATGGGTTAAATGGGTGGTGGGTATTAAAGAGGGCACTTGTGGTAAGAACTGGGTGTTATATATAAGTGATGAATCCCTAAATCCTATTCTTGAAACTAATATTACACTATATTTTAACTAGAATTTAAAAATTGAAACAAAAAAGAAAGCATATGGGAATAGCCGTATGCTTAACTCTTCAAAAAAAAAAGAAAAAACACTCCTTCCAAGCTTTCAGTACACATGATGTGTTCAGTTTCAGTCCCCTTACCTTACCAGGGCCCAAGCTCATAATTCCTATCTCCATGTGGGTGTTGAAAGCACCCTTAAGGTCTGTATATGTTTCTGAATCCTCTGAGATGCTATACATTATTAGCTCCCAGCAATGTTCCTAGCCTTGAGAATCTTTGTTGCAGACATCTGGTATTTCCCTTTTTACTAAAAAAAAAAAACCAAAACCCTTTTGGATATATTTTATCCAATATGTTCATTATGTTTGTGGGGAAGGGTATGTGTAAATTCAATCTGCCATATTGCCAGATATTTAGCTTATATACTTGCAGTAAATATTTGATCCAGAATCTCTACTTCCACTGGATTATTGCTGTAATTTGCTTCCTGGTCTCTCTACATTGTCTTTTCCCTATTAACAGTGCCAAGCTGTCTTCTTAAAGCTTTGCTTTGACTTTGTTATTCACCTGTTCAACAAATTAGTGATGGTTCTTCACTGTGTAAATTCTTCACTCTGGCATTCAAAGCCTTTCACAGTTTGACCCACAATTTACTTTTCCAACTCTATTTCCTACCACTTTTCTACATCAACTGTTTTATCCTAGCCAGCTTGACCACTTACTGTTGTTCAAATATGACAAGTTTCTCCACCGAGTTCTTGTGCCACTGTCTTTCTCTGGGATATAGCTCAAATTTTACATGCTTATTAAAATCTTCAATATTGTTTGAAGGTATCATGAGGCCTCCCAACATTGCCTCAAGTTGACTTTGTTTCTTGCCTTTGCTACCACTTTGTACCTTTCTTTCTTATGATATTTTTCACATTCTGTTCTCCACCAGTTATCTGTTTTGTACGTTTTACTAGATTATAACCTTTGCAAGATTATGAGGGCATGGAATGTACGTTTTTGTATACTTCAAAATTAGTCAAGGCGTTGAACTAAAGAGTATACAATAGTTGTGAAATAACTAGAAAATTCACCCTAATAATAAATGGTATGGTAGAGATTTGCATTGAAGTCTAGAAGCTTCTGTGTTTGAAGGGCTAGAAATGGGACACCTGTCTGAAGGGAGGGATCCTATGAGGCAGGAAGAGCTCAGAGGAGGCAACTTGAGAATTATGCTTTAAAAAATGAATAACTTTCAAGGTAGATAATGAAAAGGAAGGAGCTAATGGGTAGAAAGAAAAAAAGTACAGAAAAGATAAATGACACTGAAAAAGAAGGTCCAATGGCATCAAAAAGCATATTGTATTTGGGAGATCAGAAGTTACTGGTAAGCCTACAATGCCTAGAAGGACAGATATGATGTACAGCTGAAGTCTAGAGCTAGAACACACACAGTAAGAATAAGAAGTCTTTCATTTATCCTGCAGGCTAGCCATTTACCTTTTCAAGAATGAAGACATATTTTTAATGTACAAAAAACTATGCCTCCCAAAGTAACTTTTTTTTTTTTTAAAAGATTTTATTTGACAGAGAGAGACACAGTGAGAGAGGGAACACAAGCAGGGGGAG